CCAGGGCCGGAGAGTGAGCCCCCTGCCCTCCACCTCTGGTGGACGAGGGCCCTTTAAGGCACCTGTGGGGGTGGGGGAAGAGGAGCGGGAGCTGGTTCCGTCCTGGATGCAAGGACGGGCTTGGATTGGCAGGTGTTTGTGGGATGCAATCAATGAGGTGGGGTGTCAGAGGCAGACACGGGATTGGGCCATCCCTGAGGTGGCCAGGGTCACAACTGTCAGGACTAGGGGCAAAAAACGACCCCAACCCGGTAGTGTAAAGCCATAAACTGGAAGCCGCAGTTCTGGGCGCCGGAGGCTTGGCCGCTGTCCCCGCCGAGCCAGTGAGGTGGGACAATTCAGGAAGGGTGGGCGGGCCTAGGGAGACTGACCGAGCCCGCGAGCAGACTCAAGCCAATCACAGAGCTGCCCAGTCACCAGGCTCGAGTCGGTGCCACCACCCACTCCTGGGCTTGGCAGTGCTCCTTCAGGGACCGTCAAGGCCGCGAGAGCGAAACCACCTTCGCTTAGGCAGAGCTGACCCCGGGAGGTTTAGGACCGGCCTGGCCCCGACGGCGGGCGGAAGCAATCAAAAGAATCTGACGCTGGGCAGAAAAATGGGCGACAGACACCACGCGAAGAGTGGCCAGATCGCGCTCCTGGGCGGGAGATCGAGGGCTGGAAGGGCGGCGGGAAGTGCAGGGCGGGTCAGTCCTGGGACCGCGGATTCGTGGGGACTGTCCCGGCTCCGGCTGGGATTGGCCAGCCCCGGGGGCGCGGCGGGGGTGTAGTGTGGGCGGGGCGGACGCGGCCCGAGAAGCTTCGTGGGCCTCAGTATTTCCGCTTCAGCTTTTGGAAGTCGCTGGTGTTGAGCCGAGGTCGTGGCAAATCCCCGAAGACCTGGGTGTCCTCAGCCTCCCGCAGAACCAACGCGCGCATGCTCGCCGCGATGCGGTCGAGGTCCGGCGAGGAGGGCTGCAGAGACGTGGGCGGGGCGGGTCAGCACCCTCGGCCCGCGGCACACACCCAGAGCTCCAGCATTCAGCCCCTGCACCCGGGGCAACAGGCCCGCTCCCAGCTGGTCCCGACCCTCCCGATTGTGCCCTGCGATGCCCACCGCCAGCCATGCCCTCTTGCTCCGTTCTTCTACCCAACTCACACTTCCTCTGGCAGCTTTGTTGGCCTCTCCCCCTCCCCATCTTGACCTGTGTGCCACCACAGCTGCCTGTTCCACCGCGGGGAGGGGTCTCAGGCACCATTTGGGCTAAAGATACAGTCACATTCCAATCAGATCTCTGCTGCGGACTAGCTAGCTGTACATAAGAGATTTTGCCTTCCTAGGCCTCAGTCTCCCCTTCTGAAAGATGGGTATAACAGGGCCTGGGGAGGGCTGAAATTGGATAGTCATTTCAGAGATGGAGCAAGGAAGGTGAACTATCAGGTGGTCTGCACAGAAAGGACCCTCATATCCACCCAGTGCTCCTCCATCAAAGCCCTCCAGTAGGCTGGGAGAGGCCACAGGCACTAGTTGGTCAGGAGCCCATGAGGAGGACAGCCCAGGGTCCAGCACTAGGAAGCCTTGAAGGTTCAATCGGTTAACTGTGTGACCATAAGCTGCCAACATGGACAGCAGCACTGCACCTGATGCCTCACTGGGCCCTTCTACAACCTGGGGGCAGAAAAATGGGCGACAGACCCCACGTCCATTTTTCTGCCCAGCGTCAGATCACTCATCTCTAAGTAAATAGACACTGAGTCTTGAGGGGAACAATGCCAGGCCTTCTCCCTTGCAGCCCACTGCTCTTCTAAAGGAAGCTGGGTTCCGGTCTCAGACCTCTGGGAGGCCATGCGTCCTCAGTGCCTCACTTTCCTCCTGGCTTCAAGGAGTCCCAGTGTTCGGTAGCTGGAGCTACCCCAGGAGAGCAGAGGAGGCCTTCCGAACAGCATGGCTACAGGACTGTGGCTGGAAACCTGCCTCTCACGGCTGAGTGGGCTTCAGGGAGCTCACAGGTGAGAAGGGCAGCAGATCTGAGGGCTTCCTGCAGCAGGTGGCTCTGAGCCTGTCTAGCCTCCCTCCTCCCCAGCCCCACCTGCCCCTCACCGGCCCGTTCTCCTCATCTGATGACCGGGCCTCTGTCCTCTTCTCCTTGAAGGCCCAGACAGGCACCGACACGGGCAGAGACCGGGCATACTGCTGTGTGGGCAGCGCCGAGGCTGGGGGCATGGAGTAGGCTGGGGGGCCAGCTGGGGTCTCCTCGCTCAGGCTGCCATCTGTGAGAAAGGGGTACTTCAGCCTCTGTCCCTGTTAGCATTCCTGGTTCCTGGGTGTGGGGACAGCGGGGGACACTCACCATCTGTGCTCTCAGGGTCTGACTCGCAGAAGGGGGGCAAGTCCTGGAGGGTGGCATCCTCGTCCATCACAAAGAGCCCTGAGGATGGTGTCAAGAGGCCCTGGCCAGTCAGGTTGCTATCCTGCTACAAGTGCCCCAACTCCAGCCACTGTCACTGCTTTCTGGGGTATCCTGCAATTATTAGTCTCTCAGCCTCAAATACACGGTGCTCGTTATCTGTCCGGTCATGAGGAGAATTCATCTGTCAACCTGTCACACCCTCAGATGCAAAAAATACCCTGGCTAACAAGGAGCCTCTAAGATCTGTTTTGGACAATCAATGTGACTCAGAACATAGGCTTAGAGAAAATGGCACAATTGTGACACCTGCTTGACAAAAGGAGAGGCTCTGACAGATTGTGTCGCTGGCTGGAGGTCCCACAGCAAGTAAGTGACATCACCAGGATTTCAACTCTGCACACCTGGCTCCTGTCTGTACCTTCCTTCTCGGCAGGTGGTGTCCAGCAATGGGAGGAGGCCGAGGCCAGGCATTGGTGACAACAGAGAGTAATTCCTATTAATTGATTCCCCTGCACTCTCTCTCACTCCTCAGAACCTCAGTGTTGAGTGCAGCCTCTGGGAGGAACCCCTGCAAGCTGGCTGCTCCCTGACTGGGGTGGCTGCTGGGTGACGTTTCATGAGACACAGTCCCAAGGGCCTCGGCCCCCCTGGAAAGTCACAGCAGGCAGCTAGCCAGGACCAGATCCCCAGCCCCTGCCTGGCACCTTCTTACCTCCGTTATCGCTGCCACCCAGCCGCTCCCCGGAGGTCTCTGTCTCCGTTGGTTCATCCTCCTCGTCCTCCTCATCCTCCCTGGCCAGGGCAGGCTGGGGTGGGCTTGGGGCAGGGCTGGGCGGCTGTGGTTCTGGTGGGGGCCCGGGGGGCCGGGCAGCAGCAGCTGCCCTATGAGCTTGGGCAATGTCATGGAGGCAGCGGCGGGCAGCCTCAGCCAGGGCCCCACGGCCATGGGCTGCATAGGCACAGGGCCCCGGGCGTGGTGGTGGCGCAGCCGTCAGCAGCACCAGCTCTGTGCCTGTCCGGGCCCGGAAGCGCTCGGCGGCCCCCACCACAGCCTCCCACAGCTCCTCCGGCCGCCCTGACGCCATCAGCGCCCTGTGGGCCAAAGCAGGACAAAGGGGGATGAGGCTCAGGTGCCCATACTGTTCCCACCCAGCCTTGTCCACCTGCCCCCTGGATGCCACTCATGTCCCTCACATCCACTTTGCCTGGCTAAGCTTGGTGCTTTCTGCAAACCTGCTATCCCCGGGCCCCTCACACCACCCCTCACTCACACCCACCTCCCTCCTGCCCCAAATATCTGCACCGTCCTTTCCCAGCCCCAGGTCTCCTTTTGGCTCTGCCCTGTCCCACATGCGAGTCAGCAGTCCTTGGAATGTGGCAGCTACAAGCAGAGAGGTGCTATGAGCGTCACAGCCATGCCGGGTTTTGAAGATTCAGTATGAAGAAGCAGAAGGCAAAACTGCTCGGTAGCCGTCACTCACTCTGGACCCCATGTTGAAAGGATGGCAGTTACACATACTGGCCAAATAAAACAGATGGCAGAAATAAATTTCATCTGTTTTCTTTTTCCAGTGGCTTCTAGGAAACTGGCAGGCTGGCACTGCATTTCTGTTGAACCAGCTGCACCATCACCCCAGCCTCCAGTCACATAACATGAGGCCCAGAGGGTCATCTCCACCAAGAGCTGACCCTACCACTTGCGGAATTCCCAGGACAAGGTGGTCCCCACACCTGGAAGACTGGACCTCCATTCAAGGCCAACCAGTCACTCATCCTGTGTGAATGAAACTTCCCTCACCCCTGATTAAGCCAATTCCCCTCCTTGGGGCTCCTGCATCTGAGCAACCTCCTGTTACAGCCCAATCCCCTCAGGAAAGGATTGAATAAAGGGGAAAAAAAAAAAAAAAAAACGCCATGTGAGCTGTTCTCTGCCTAGAAATCCACCCACTGAAAGCTTTGCGCTTCCTATGAGATGCTGTCTTGCCACCTTGTCTGTAAGTCTTCCTTGGTTCCCAAGTGGACGACATCCTCCTCAGCCCCCACAATGCTTAGGCTCCCTCCATCCTAGTCAAGTCACCTCAGCTAGTGACAGCTGTACCACTGACTGCCTCTCTTATCAGACTGCAAGCTCCCCTAAGCAGGAATCTGTCTCTAGGACAAGTCAGCTCTGGGCAACATCGGTGGGAAGGCCAGAGGCAGGGGACTGGCTTCCTGCCCTGATTCCAGCCAGCTAGCTATGTGACCCTGGTCCACTCTTCCCTCCTTCTTCCCCGTTAACCAAAGCAGTGAGCCAGAGCTGCTGGGGAGCTGAGGAGCTTCCTTGGAGACATAATTAAGTACCCTGTCACTGGAGGGATTCAAGTCCACCAGAGGCAGGGTGAAAGGAAGCAAGGAATCGGAATTCAACTTTCAGGCCCTTTTTGATTTGTGACCACAGAAATGGGTACAGGAACTCGATGTCCTCACCTCACCTCCTCTCAGCTCACTAAGGTGGGGGCTGATAACCCACAACAGGGTTCAGGGAGTACACAACTCTGCTGGGAGGGAGGTCCACGCAACACATTCCATATTCCAGGCAGGGCCTGAGGGTGGAATCAACTTCATCTCACTCCCCACCCTAAGGGGAAGGGAGAGTATCACCCCACTTTACAGTTGCAAACTCAGGCTCAGGGAAATTCAGTACCTTGTCCAGGGTCACACAGCCAGAAATAGGAGGGCTGAGGCCAGGACTAGGACAAGATCTAGAGAGTTCTTAATCCTGCCGACCATCCTGCCTGCCTCAGGTGGGAAGATTCATGATCTTCTTATCCAGATGGGGAAAATGAGGCTCAGTGAGCTTAAGAAACTAGCCAGAAAGCACACAGCTGGACAAGGCAGAAGAGGGGCTAAAACCGCTGTCTGTCTGATCCCCAGGTCCTGCAGCACTGGGAGGTGTCCAGTGTCTTGTACACTCTCAAGTTCTTTCCATCTGATGCAGGAAACTCAGGCTCAGAGCAGGTACAGACTGGTCTAAAATCACAGGCAGGTCCTGACAGTGACAGACATGGCCTGGGCTCTCACTTTCCTGGGCCCCCTATGTGTACATGCAGAAAATAGAAGAGGACATTAGGATCCAACTACCTCTTTGCACTAGAACTTGGGGTGGCCACAGAGCTGACCAGTGTGAAAACGGAGGCAAAGCGGGTTGTGAAGGTCCCTGCACCTCAGACAGGAGACAGGGGCAAAAAGGACCAGGGACTTACACAACCTCTCTGCCAAGGCATGAGGGCTCTCTGGACTGCTCCCCAACAGGGCAGCAAAGAGCTAGGAGCCTCCCGCCCCCTCCTCTGGGAGCGGGTCCAGTCGCCTCTCAGGAGCCTCACCCCCGCGGAGTTTAAGATTGGGGGTGGGACATGTCCCCTACGGGAGGGCGGGGGGCGGCGGCAAGGCGACTGGCCCCTTCATATGGGATGTGGAGGGAAGAAAGGTGAGGAGGAGGGGAGGGGGAGTGAGGAAACTGACTCCAGGAAGCGGTGAGAAAAGGGCAAGCTCCCCCCAAAGCATGAGGGATGCTAGCGAAGCCCCCCACCTGTCAAGCTGGAAGCGACCCTCGCCCGGAGGGGTGAGGAACGCGAGCATGCACGCTGGTGCCGGGGCAGGGTGAACGTCGGGGACCAGCTCCGCCGCTCAGACCCATTCCCACCACGCCCGGGGTCCAGGGAGGACCCACTTCTACAAGAAAAAACAGGAAATCCCGCCCAGGTGGGGCCAGGACCGGAAGTCCCGCCTTTGGACGGGTGAGGGGCGCCGCGAACCCCCCCGAGCGACACCTAGGTCCCGTGGCATGGCCCACGAGTCAAGGTGAGGATCCTGTGGGTAGGGACACCGGAAAATAAGGTTGTCTAGGATTTTCCTGAGGTCAGACATGACGGTTCCCATGGGAGACTCTCTTCCAGCATTCAGCCAAAGGTCGCTGGACGATCTCTGCCCGCTGAATGATGCAGGCCGTACCCCTTCCGTGAACCGATAGCCCTCCCAGCGCCCCCTCTGCCTCCGGAACGCCAAATCCTCCCCACACCGCGGTTCACAACGCCGCCTCCACTCACGTGCCCGTAGCCAGCATGGCCGGCCCGGCGCCGTCGCCGCCCTCAAAAGGCATGGCGGCGCTGCGTCACTTCCGTGTAGTTGCCCCTCCTCCACTCCGCACACTCCTCCTCCCTTATTCGGGTCTCCTGAGACCAAAATGGCAACAATAGATGCTTCATCTAGACCAATGGGGGCAATAGTAACAGCAGAGTGCCCATAAATGAGATGGTGAAAGAAAGGTTTCCGCGCAAGCCTAGGCCACTTCGATTTGCCCCCAAGAAATATGGCTGACAGCAGATCCTCACAGGATTGTAATAAACTCAGGCAAGTGACCTGACATCCCTCACCCGTAATCAAGTTTTTCCGCAGACACAAAAAATGGAGGAAATCAGAGCCCGTCAGCGACATGGCATCCAGTCTGGCTTCATTTTCTCCCAATGTGTATGGACACTCCCTCCCACCAACCTACCCCCCAGCAGCACCAAGACTGGCAAATATCCAATATGGCAGCATTTCTTGCTTCGGTTTGCCCAGCTTCAAGATGGCGGCTCAGCCCACTTTCCACGGTGACTCAGGAATTCGTCTGGGACAGCTTCGTTTCTGGGGGCATTTACGGCTGCATCCCGTAATCCCGAGCCCCTCCGAACGTCTTGTGTACATCTCCTCTCACCTTTATCTGTTCCTCTTTTCCAACACCTCGCTTTCGTGCCCCGCGAAGAGATGAGACTGCCCCGCATTAACATGGCCTCGGCCGACCTGCTAGGGCCGTGCCCTTGAGCAAAATGGCACCTCTTTGACTTCGATGCCAGTATACAGCATGGAAAAATAAGTGGACTTTTTGGGGCGAACTCGAGCTGGGGGGGCGGAGCTCTTGGACCCTCCCACTTGTTTACTCCGTGGCGAGAGCGGAGACGCTGCGCCTGCGCACCCTCTGACAGCTCCACCTTCAACGTCTATGCCTTGTGACTCGAACCCTTGCAGTTCAAGTTCAACTACCCCATTCTGAAAAGTGGTTTCACCCACTCCTGCTTTAGAATGGTAAGGGCGCTACCACCATCTGGACTTGAGGGGGCGTGTCCTTTCCGGATGTGACACCACACTGACCCGGAAAAGAAGGAAGCTGGGGCAGTGGGGCCTCTGTGGCAACTATGGAGGGATCCGGCTACAGGGTAAGTACTCAGAACCCATTCCTTCGCTTCTGTCTATACAAACCTCCCCCTTTCGGTAGTCTACTGGCTGTGCATGGGTTATGGGAACCAGGCAAAGCCTTAGCAAACACCATTCCCTGGTAAACGCGCTGTCACCCTTCGCTTGGCTGTCCGGAGGGACACCCTGCCTTTTAGCCCCGCCCTCTTTGGAATGCGCACCCACGCCGGAACGCGGGTCTGGTCTTCAGGTTTGGTCACACTCTCCCTAACCCCTCCGCAAAGCCCCAGGCCCCGCCCCTGGGACTAGCTCCGCCCAGGCCCGCTCCCATTGGCTCCCTTCCGTGCCGCCCCTTCATGAGCCCGCCCTGGTTGTGGCCCGCAGGTGGTGTTTGAGAAGGGAGGTGTGTACCTGCACACCAGCGCCAAAAAGCATCAGGACCCAGACTCGCTCATCGCTGGCGTCATCCGTGTCGTGGAGAAGGTGGGCTGGAAGAAAGCAGGGCCTTCAGAAGGCAGGGGTGGTAGGGTGTGGAAGGCTGAGTGAGGGTGGTGACTGCATTATTTGGGAAACTGCACTGAAAGCTTTGAGGTGGTTTGGAGAGCCCACTAATTCCTCTTCATTTACCCCAGGACAATGACGTCCTTCTGCACTGGGCTCCTGTAGAGGAGGCTGGAGATTCCACCCAAATCCTCTTTTCCAAGAAGGTAGGGTTCCATCGAATCCCGCTTCTTACTCTTTTCTAGGTCTGAGTAGCAGAGGCATTGAGGGACCTGGGTACCATCCTAGACACCTGTGGGGGCATGTGTGAGCCTGGCTGAGATCTAGGAACTTTCTGCTCCACTGTTCCTCTTTGTGAATGGGCTGAAAATGCCCATTCAAGGGAAGAGGATGGGAACCATAAGATTCATGGCTGTGAGGACACCTGCTCCTGTACCCTTTGCTCCTTGGGGGAGCCTTGCCAGAGTGGGATGGGAGAGCTGAGCCTGTGCATTCCAGTTGCTTGAAGGGGTATGACATTTCTTGGGTGTAGTCTGCCATCATGGTAGAGAACAGCTCACTGAGGCTTCTTGTCCACTTCTCCCCTCCCCTCAGTTCTTACATACTTTGTCCCTTTCCTGTCTTTCACGGGTTATCACCAGCACTACTGGCTTTCACTCTACTTAGCCCTCAGCACAGCCCTTGTCTGCACCATTTCACAGAATCTGTGCAGCAGCCCCTGAGCTGGCACCATTAAGAGCAACCACCATCTATGGCTCTTATTGTGTACCAGCCCCCATAGTGGGGATTTTGTTAGTTTCATAACAATCTGTGAGTAAACAATTTTTTTTCACTGTTGAGATATAATTCACCATAACACTTTTTTTTAAATACTTATTTTTTACATATAGGTGGACACAATGTCTTTATTTTTGCTTTACGTGGTCCTGAGGATCGAACCCAGTGCCTCACACATGCCAGGCAAGCGATCTACCTCGAGCCACAACCCCAGCCCCATAACACTTTAATATACAGTAAGAAATTCATTTATTTATTTTTATATGGTGCTGAGGCTCAAACCCCAGTGCCTCACACATGCTAGGCAAGCGCTGTTCCCCAGCCCATAAAGTAAAAAATTTAAAGCATGTAGTTCTAACTAATTAGAACAAATTTAAAAAAAAAAAAAAGCACGTAGTCCAATGTATTCACCATCATCACTAAGTTGAAAACATTTTGTCATTCCCCAAAGAAACAGTATGCCTCTTGGTGGTCACTCCCTGTTGTCTGTGCATAGCCGTTTGTAATTGTGGATCTGTCTCCCCAATGACCCGTGCTGACGAGATGAGCTGGCTACAACATTAAGCTAAGAAAATGGCGAAAAAGCACAGGACACAGAAGTAATTTTCATATCAAGAGCAGGACTGCTCTGTGACCTTAAAAGTCAGCTTCCACACTGGAGAGAGCACTGGAAAAGAGTGTGCACCTGGAATCTCTTTATTTTTATGGGGGCGGGGACACAGAAAGGAGGTTCAATATAATGTTCTTCATCAAATAAGGCAGGGGATAAGGTTTCAAATGGGGGGTTGTTCAATCCCATTGGGTAATGCCCAAGTCCAGAGCTGAAGCAAACTTCTTTGCCCAGTGGAAGGTAAAGGCCACTTGCTTTGCACAGCGCGTGGTGTGCAATGCCAGATCAACATCCCCTTTACTCAAGGTTGAGAGGGGATGCTTAGCTCATGGGCAGGTGGCCTCCCACAGATCTATTTTCTTTCTTTGACTTTGCCTATTTGAGATGTTTCCTGTAAATGGAATCATGCAATCCTTTTACTCATACTTGCAAGGACCATCCATGTTGTAGTGTGGCCCTTTTCCTTCATGAGGCTGAATAGTATCTGGCCTTCATGTCACCTGGATATGCAGCATTTTGCTTCTTTATCAGTTTGATGGATGTTTGGGTAGTTCCATCTTTTGGCCATTATGAATTATATGCTGTGACCATGTCTGAGTTTTTGTGTGGACATAGATTTTCCTTTCTCTGGGGCCCATACCTAGGAATGGATTGCTGGATCATCATGGTAACTCTATTTTTTAATCTTTTGAGGAACTGCCAGACTGCTTTCCAGAGCAGTGGCACCATTTTACATTCCCACGAGCAGTGTAGGCAGGTTTGTTTCTTTGCATCCTTGCCAGCGCTTGTTATCGTCTGTTTAATTCAGCAATTCTGGTGGGTATGAAGTGGTATCTTCTTTCTTTCTTTCTCTTTTTTTCTTTTGTGGTGTTGAGATGGAACCCAGGGCCTCATGCATGCTAGGCCAAAGCTCTGCCACTGAGCCATACCCCAGGCTTGTGATTGGCATCTAATGGTGGTTTTGTAGTGCAGTTCCCTGTTAAGTGCTAGCAACTTTCTTTAAGCACTGCAGTCTCGCTGTCTCACTGTCTCACTGCAAAGCTACTTGCTCAGTAGCATTCATCCCTACACACTGGAAGACCTGGGTTCACGTCCGGCTATGCTGGGTGACCTTGCTCGAGTGCTGTGCCACTGTTGTGCCTTACTCCCTGTTCAAACGGACTGCCTTCTAACAGAGACTCTAGGCTCAGATCTGGAAACTCTGAATCCGTAGCACCTCATTCTCCTCCTTTCCTCCCTCAAGGACTCCAGTGGGGGTGACTCCTGCACCTCTGAGGAGGAACCTACCTTTGACCCAGGCTATGAACCTGACTGGGCTGTCATCAGCACAGTGCGGCCACGGCCACATCACTCAGAACCCACAGAAGGTAGGCTGAACTGGTGTTCCTGGGAGGCAGGTGGAACACATCTTGCCCTTAGTGGCAAACATTTTGTTGCTTAGTTGGAATGGCCACCTGGCACCACCTTCCTGTCTTAGGAGAGTGGAGTGGATTGGCTTCGGGCACCCCCTTGGGTCCTACCCGTGAAGGTTTCTAGGTTGGTGGGTGTGACAGATGCAGCCAGTTATCAGCTACAGCAGGGCTGATAACTGGGTTATCAGGGTTGGTCACGTCCCACCTCTCTGAGGGACACTCAGGAATTTTCTTTCCCAGCAAGGCCAGAAGAAGGAGTGCAGGGAGTGTTGTGGTTGAGTGTGGGGTCTGAACTGAAAAGGAGGTTGGAGGTGAGACAGAAAGGAATCTGATTTGGGACAGACCTGAAGGACCTCAAGTAGCAGATTAAGGAATATAGTCTTCACCCTGAAGGTTGTAAGGAGCTTGAGAAGGTTCTGGAATAGGCACATGTCTACCAGGCTTCTTTCCCATTTTATTGTTTTATTCTCTAAGAAATATAAGGTGGCTCAGTTGTAAAAGATTGGGACATGGGAACCACTTTTGGTGGGACCTCAGGAGACAACTGTGCTGACCTGGCTGCCTCTGTACTTCTACGCTGCTTCCAACACAGTGCTGTCCTCCTAGGTGCAGAGCCAAGCTCCACCCGGGGCTCCTGGGCCTTCTCGGTGAGCCTGGGGGAGCTCAAGTCCATACGCCGGTCCAAGCCAGGCCTCAGCTGGGCCTACCTGGTCCTGGTGACTCAGGCTGGAGGCTCGCTGCCTGCTCTGCACTTCCACCGTGGGGGCACCCGAGCCCTGCTGCGTGTCCTCAGCCGCTACCTGCTGTTGGCCAGGTGAGCCTTCTCTCAGCTGTAGGCTCTGACTAGGCCCTGGCCCTCTGCAGCTGCATCTTGACCCCTTCAGATTGCAAAGAAGACACAATTCAAACTGACTTAAAGGAAGAGAAAAGGAATTGCCTGGCATAACAAAACTGAGAAGCCCAAGAGTAGTATGGATTTCAGTCAGGCCCTGGGACCCACAATGCTAGAGATTGCTTCTTTTCCCTTTGAGCTTCTGTCATTCTCTGAGGCCCCTAGCAGCCCAGACTTAGCAACAGGCTGCATGGAAACATCTTCCCATCACATTCCAACAGAATCCCACAGCTGCCTCTCAGGCTCATCTCTGAGTCGAGTCACCCTGGCCAGGGAGGTGCAGACCCTTATTGCCCAGCTCTAGTCCCTGACCTCTCCCTGCAATAACATACCTGAGATGAGGGATTCCTCAAGAGCTGCTGGGATGCTGAAATGAACAGATGTGTGCCTGGACAGCCCAGGACACTGGGTCTCCACCGCGCATCACCGGTGCATCCCCTCCCACCTGCCAGCTCACCACAGGACTCCCGCCTCTACCTTGTCTTCCCTCACGACTCTTCCGCCCTCTCCAACTCCTTTCACCACCTGCAGCTCTTTGACCAGGACAGCTCCAACGTGGTGTCTGTGAGTGTCCTCTCTACCAGGCCAGCAGGGTGGGAGTGGGGCAGGACCCAATGGAACCTGTGATAATCTTTGTCTCTGTGCCCAGCGCTTCCTCCAGGACCCCTACTCCACCACCTTCAGCAGCTTCTCCCGAGTGACCAACTTTTTCCGAGGAGCACTGCAGCCACACCCTGAGGGGACCTCCTCCCCTGACCTTCCTCCACCACCTGATGATGAGCCTGAGCCTGGGTTCGAGGTCATATCCTGTGTAAGTATCAAGTGGGCCCTGCTTGTTACTTTCTGGCTGTTTCATGGGCACATGACTTAATTTTCCTGGGCCTCTATTTCCTCCTTACAACGTGGGACAGTAGTGGCACCACTCTTCTGGGGTTGCATAAGAAGTAATTTCAGTTGGATATGGTGGCATACAACTGTAATGTCAGCAACTTGAGGAGCTGAGGCAAGAGTATCATGAGTTCAAGGCCAGCCTGGGCATCTTGGCAAGACTCTGCCTCAAAATAAATAAAAGGCTGAGACTGTAGCTCAGTTGTCCTGGGTTTGAACCCCAGTACCAAAATTTAAAAAATAGCAAAGGGGAGTGATCTGACAGAAGCACATTCGGCTGTGCCAAGCACAGAGCACACCCGATGGCTGTTGTCACTGGGGGCTGTCCTGCCTTGGGTGGCCTTGCTGCTGATTCAGGGAGGGCGCTGCTTTCTGTCCCTGATCATTAATGGTCTTTTGAGCTAAGAAGGGCTCTGAGCTCCCTTGGAGGTGGACTGAGATGGTGCTAAGGGCCAGATCTGGCAAGCCCCAGGCTTACCTCCTCGTGTACTGCAGGTAAAACTGGGGCCACGGCTACCTGTGGAACGGGCTTCCCCAGTCACAGAAGGGGAATGGGCCCTCCACGTGGGCCCTGAGGGCCGCCTACAACAGGTCCCTGAATTGAAGAACCGGATCTTCTCAGGGGTGAGCACCAGAGGATGGGGGGATGGGCAGGGCTGGTGGCATCAGGAGATCCACTGAACTACCTCTGCCACTCTACCCCCAGGGTCTGAGCCCCAGCCTGCGACGAGAGGCCTGGAAGTTCCTCCTGGGATACCTCAGCTGGGAAGGCTCAGCTGAGGAGCACAAGGCCCATGTGCGCAAGAAGACGTGAGTGAGAAAACATGGCCCCTGTGTTCTTGGGGCAGTTTTGCCCTTCAAAGCTTTGGCTTCCACCTCCCTAAGTCTCCCAGGTGGATTAGAGCTTCTTGATCAACAGCATGTCCCATGAGCCAGCACGGCACCTGGCTCTTCACAGGGATGCTGTAGACAATAGGCTTGTTCCATGAACACTGGTTTTGAGCCTGCCATACGCTGGGCACTGTGCTGTGCCAGAGGATATGGTGGTGAACAAGTCAGACCTGCCATCCCCATGTGGTCTGTCTCCAGTCTGAATTGCTGCTTCATTCCTGGACCATGCTGTGTCACTAGTCATAATAGTTTTGTGGTCAGCCTCTGCCCTCCCTACTCCTTAGGGATGAGTATTTCCGCATGAAGCTGCAGTGGAAGTCTGTGAGTCCCGAGCAGGAGCGGAGGAACTCACTCCTGCATGGATACCGCAGCCTCATTGGTGGGTGTGCTTGGTTTTGGGGTGGTACAGAGATGAAAGGGTGGGAGAGAGAGGAAGTAGCGAGGAGGGCTGGGGCAGGGATGAGGTCATCTGGGCAGGGAAATGGGGGTGAAGCATGGTAGAAATGGCCTGGGGTGACAGGCCAGGGACGGGGGCAGGGGAGCCTTTAGGATTAAATGTCAGTTGTCACTGGGAGGTCTAGACAAGTGATTTTACCTCTCTGGGTCTCGGTTTCTTCGCTGGCAGGATGGGGTAAGCTGGTGAGTTGAAGCCCAGTGCCTCACAGCAGGAGTGTTAGTGATGATTTTGGAACCAGTCCCACTCCTGCCCCAGAGCGAGCGCTGAAGCTGGGGGCTGCCAGGGAGCAGAGGAGGCAGGGCTGGTGCTGGTGGCCAGGAGGAACGGGGGCCTCACCTTTTTTACGTTTGCACTCTGCGCTGGGTTCCTGCAGAGAGAGATGTGAGCCGCACTGACAGGACCAACAAATTCTACGAGGGCCCCGAGAACCCAGGGCTGGGCCTCCTGCATGACATCCTCCTCACGTACTGCATGTACCACTTTGATCTTGGTGCGGAACTGGCCCCGGCTGGGGGTGGGGTGAAGGAGCTCTGCCCTAGATCCTGACCTTGCCCCCCTCCCCCCCAGGCTACGTCCAGGGCATGAGTGACCTTCTCTCCCCGATCCTCTACGTCATTCAGAGTGAAGTAGATGCTTTCTGGTGTTTCTGTGGCTTCATGGAGCTTGTGGTAAGGCCCACTACAGGAGTGGGAAACAGACCTCTGAGAGTCAGGGCTGGGGGCTCCTGATACCCGCTGCCTTCCTCTCCCTGCAGCATGGAAACTTTGAGGAGAGTCAGGAGACCATGAAGCGGCAGCTCGGGCAACTCCTGCTGCTCCTGAGGGTGCTGGACCAGCCACTGTGCGACTTCCTGGGTATGTCCTTAGGGCTGGTGGGTGAGTAGGCAAGGGATTCACAGACCTTGCCAGAGATTCTCTGTTAGTAGCCACAGAAAGTGTCTGGGATGCTTGGTGCTGATCTGAACAAGAGATCCTGAAACTTAAGTGTAAGGGCTGAATGGCAGTTTGGAACTGAGCTTTGGCATTGCCCGTGATCCTCTAGCCACCCCCATGCTTCCCTCCACCTGAGGGGCTTCAGCTACAGCGTGGTCTGCCCAGGGTGTTTCAGAAACAGGGAATCTACCATCTCTGTCCATCCTGCTCCCGCTCAACCTAGGCCAGGATCAGAAACTGGTTTTGTGACTCCTGGGTGGGGCTGCTGCATGCTATCTATAAGCTATTTGTTCAATATAAAAAATGCTGAAAATTCAGATGAAGAAAAAAGTAAAAGATGATGATAAGGTAATTTATTTATGATATTTCCTTGAGGAAGCTCTAAGACTCTTGGGGGAGGGAGATAAACGCCTCACCTCACCTTCTGGGGCATGAGGACCTGAGCTGCCTCTTGGCAGCTGAATGCGTGGAATTGTCTATGCCTGAATGCGTCTGAGATCCTCTAAATGCATGGAATTCTCTTCCCTGAAAGACACACGGAACTGATTTATCCTGATGGACATCTGCAGTTTCTTATCAGGATAAATAGTCTGGAAGATATGTTAAGGTCAAAATTCAAAAAGGGAACTGACCATGTCCAGGGCTTTTGGGCTGGGGTGTGGCTTAGTAGTGGAGCACTTGCCTAGCATGTGTGAGGTCCTGGGTTCCATCCCCAGCACTGCCAAAACTTTTATAAACCCCCCCCCCTCCACACTGGGAATTTAACCCAAGGGTGCTTTACCTCGGAGTTACATCTCCGGTTCTTTTTAGTTTTTATTTTGATATAGGGGTCTTGATAAGTTGCTTAGGTTGGCCTAGGACTTGTGGTCCTCCCATCTCAGCCTCCTCAGTTGTTATGTGCCATCTTTTGAACTGATGTCCTCATCACCACTTGCCTGCAAAGTTATCACCCCAGCTGACATTTTGGCCAACAGTGTTTCTAGGGGCCAGTGTCTACAACCCTCACCAGCACTGGTGGCTAAGATTTTGTTATCCTTGGGAGTGTTTATCTTGTCAGAGTGAAAGATGTGGAGGTAGTGCACTTCCTCTGGAGAGTGGCAGGCATGGTGGGAAAGCTGGAGTGGGCTTCTGAAGCCCCCAAGCCTGCACATATGACCTGCCTGCACCCAGGGAGGGCCTGACAACCAGGACTACTCAGAGGCTTTGTCCAGCTGTTGGGCATGTTGTGAATTTTTTTTTTTTTTGGAATTGGTTTTGAGTTTGGGGGGAATTGGGTTTTGAATTTGCTTATTATAGGGCACCTGCTCTGGGTGAAGCTGAGTCACGCATTGTCCTCCCCCAGACTCCCAGGACTCTGGTTCTCTCTGCTTCTGCTTCCGGTGGCTACTCATCTGGTTCAAGAGAGAATTCCCTTTCCCGGATATCCTTCGGCTGTGGGAGGTGGGCCAGCCAGTTCTGGTGGGAGGACTGAAGAGGAAGGAGAAGTGGGAGGGGCTGGAAGGTTGGAGGGAAATGGGCAGACCTGAATGGAGCAGACTTGGGTAGGACTTCAGGCATAGGTTCCTTCTGGCACCCCCAGGTGCTGTGGACAGGGCTTCCTGGTCCCAATCTGCACCTGCTAGTAGCCTGCGCCATCCTGGACATGGAGCGGGACACCCTCATGCTGTCTGGCTTTGGCTCCAATGAGATCCTTAAGGTGAGGGCTCCCCCTGTCGTCCCTGGCAATGCCTTGCCTGTGCAACAGTTGGACTATTGAATGGATGGTTGGCTGTGAACACTGTCAGGGTGGATCTGCTGTTCTCTCCTTTCTCCTATGCCTGCCTCCTAGCATTGTACCCACGGAACAGGTGAATGGGGACATGCCCCTCCCCTTCATTTTACAATATATCTGCCAGCAGTGAGCAATGGGAATGATTACTGTAGGACTGAGAAGCCTGACTCCCTGACCCCACAGCCCTGCTCTGAGCCCCTACAGGGTCATCCCTGTCTTCCCTCCATTCCCCAGCAGGCAGGTGTGTAGAGTAGGCATTGGGTGGTGATGGTGAGGGAGGGCTGTAAGCTTGACCCACTCCCTCTCCACAGCACATTAACGAGCTGACCATGAAGCTGAGCGTGGAAGACGTGCTGACACGTGCCGAGGCCCTCTACCGGCAACTGACTGCCTGCCGGGTGAGTCCTGGCTCTCCCCACAGTGGTCTCCCAGCTCTTCTGCTGGCTCACCACTGACTTTTTGCCTCCACGCCCCTAGGAACTGCCCCACAACGTTCAGGAGGTTTTGGGTCTGGTGCCACTCTCAGAGCCCCGCAGCCCCTCGCCCCTGGTGTCCCCACTGCCACTATCACCTACACGGGCCCCGCCTGCCCCGCCGCCTCCAGGGGACACAGCCCCACAACCTGACAGCAGCCTAGAGATCCTGCCAGAGGAGGAAGACGGCCCAGACTCCTAACCTGTATTGACCAGTGGCCTGCACAGGTGCTTTATCTGCCTCTGGGGGCTAAGGGAGGGACCTGTGAGGAGGGCTGCTGCCCACTGCACTCCTGATAAACTGGTTTCATTAAACTGACATTTCTCACTTCACTTGGCATTATGGCCAGGATGGGGAGGTGGTGGCATGTGGCCCCTGTGCAGAGCCCAAGCCTGACCACCTGACCTGGGACTCGGCCAATGAGACATAAGAGGTGGTCCCCGTAGGGCGTGTGGAGGCAGGGCTTTTTTTTTTTTTTTTCCAGAAGTCTTTGGGGCTTCTGGAAAAGTAGAAGATGAGGTGTTTCAGGGCCACAGCAGCAGGCACCTCCTGGATGTAATGGCAGTGAGGGGCCTGCAGAGCTGCACACTGGTACCCTGCCCATCAGCTGCTGCTCATGTGAAAAAAAATAAAATAAACTTGTTTAGCCCACTGGAAGTCAGATTTTCTGTTGTCACAGACCTGGTTGGGTGGGGAGCACTATAACACTAGTAGTGCATTGTCTGTCCTGTCCCCTTCCCCCATAGAACCCCCTGTCAAGGAAAAAGCTAGGGACAGCTTCTGGGGCTCCAGGATAGGCCCCTTCCCTTTGAACTGCAGGGCTAGTAGCTCTTGTCCAGGCAAACTGGGGAAGCAACTGAGCAGGGAGGGGGCTGAATCACATGACTTTTTCTGAAAATACTTTAATTCAAGCTGCTAAGGTGGTTGGTGTGCTGGACAGATGGGAGCTGATGGGTTGCACCATGGGTGGGTTCTCCTTTTCCCTCTCTGCACGGGGGATAGCTGGCTTCCTCCTGGACATCTCCCGGCCTCTCGTGGACCACATCCACGTGTGTCTCATGGACCACGTGCTGCTCGCGAGGCTCCTGCTGGTCCACGCGCTGAGGCTGCAGCTGCTGCGGCTGCGGCTGCTGCTCCTGCTGGTCCACGTGGTGCTCGTGGTCCTCGTGGTCCACGTGCCCTTCGTGGTCCACGTGCCCCTCCACGTGCCCCTCGTGGACCCTTACTACATGCATCTCCACACGCCCTTCTTTGCCCTTATCCACACTCCCAGGCCATTCCCGGGTGTTGATTTTTATGGCGACCCGCAGAGCCGACTTGACAGCCGTCTCCACCCAGCCATGTGGGTGGGCAGTGTGCTCCCCGGCGAAGTAGATGCGGCCGTAGGGGACCACCCAGTCGAAGTCCTGCCCATCGTCCTGGTCAGTTTGCCAGAGAAACGGCGGCTGCACCACGAAGCCACCCTGACTATGTGGGTCATCCTCCCAGCGCTTAACGACACCGCTGCCGTCCCAGAGCCGGTACACAAGCGGCCCGTGCAGCCTCGCCAAATCGTTGAGTGCCAAGCGCATCGCATCATTCGGGCTAAGGCCAGAGAACACAGCCGCAGAGTCTGCCCACGTGTAGGAGGCCAGCAGCAGCGTGCCCTCATCTGGTGCCGGGTAGAATATCTGACGCGATGGGCGATCGGTGTTCGAATGGCCGCCTTCAATACGCTCGTCATGCCAGAAGGCCCGACGGAAGTTTAGGAACACTTTGGTGGCGGGCACATAGTGTAGTTGGCGCAGCGCCTCCTGTCGCTTGTGCGACAGCGGCGGTGAGAAGGTGATACGCTGCAGCGCGGGCCCGCTTGCGGTCAGTAGCACTACATCTGCCGTCAGTGCCTTCGGATTCCGCGACGTGTGCGAGGTCGCAATGTGCACGCGCACTTCTTGCATGCCCTGAGTTATCGCTATGACCGGAGCGTTCAGCAGCACTGGCCCCGACAGCGAGCTCAATAGCGCACGCGGCAGCAGGTCCCAGCCGCCCACGATGCGGCTGTACCTGTGGTCAGGCATAAGCGTGAGTGGATATTTACAGCGGGATTCCTCAGCGCAGGCCCCTGCGCGTTACTTGCTCCTATTGGCACCCCCGTCATCCCCCTCATCCTCCCCACCCCTCTCTGGACCTCAAGGGCAGGAGGCCTGCAGAGTAAAGGATATATGACCCGAAACCACACCTCTTCTCTGGGTTACACCCTTCTGCAGGAACCTTTCTTACCAGGTCCTCTGGAGGACCTCTGTTGCCCAGGTAAGCGGGACCAGACCAGAGGGACTGGCCTCTCCAATCCTTTAGCCCATTCCTTCACCCCTGCAGACCGCGCCCTTCACACCAGCTCCACCAACCCACTTCGGGTTGGGTTGGCGTCACCCATCCCACGCTCACCGGAGCCGGTCGCTTAGACAGCTGTGCGCCCGCAAGGCCTCAGTGAAGCTGAGGTGGAAAAATCCGTCCTTGGACATCACGTCTCCCAGAAGCTGCACGGCGGACTGGCTCAGGTTGCTTTCCCAAAGGAGGTATTCCTGCGGGGCCAATGAAGGCCCAAATCAGGGCCCAGGTAGGCTGCACCTGCCAGCGGTCAGCTCTGTCCCTGCTTCCCTGAGAACCTCTCCCTACCTGGGTCTCCTGTTTCTATGCCCTGGACCTTAAAGATTTGGTCCCCTCTTGTAATGGATGAGGGAAAAAGAGGTTCAAAAAACGGGTGTGTCCAGCCCCAGGGGAAGGGAGCAGTCACACTGGAGCCTCAGATTCCTTACTTCTTTGGGAAAGCCCCGTGGACACCCTCTTTGCCTTCATTTCTGACAGCAAAATCGAAGCCACCACTCACCAGAAGCGTGAGCCTGTCAAATCTCTTCATTGCCTTTCTGCAGCCCAGCACCATGACTTCTTTGAGGGCCTGTCCGGGAATAAGCAGATGGTGCCAGCAGAAAGGGCTGGGTTCCCCTGGTTCTGCCCAAGGCCAGACATCCACCACTCCTTCAAGCCCCCAGGCCTCCACCATCAGCATTGCCCTCCACTGCAACTCAGTTGTCACCATGGGGAGGAGTACTCTGAAGTGTTCATTCCCCTCACCCCTCATTTGTTCAGTCCAGCCTAGGATTGTGTCTGTGCCAGTTGTGCTGTGTCCTTCTGGATACTTGCTGGCATGGACAGAAGATGAGTCCCCTCTGCCGTCAGCATCAACAAGACATGATGGCTAAGAAGGTGTAATTCCCCAGCCTTTCTCTTGACCACTACCCTCTGGCCTCCTCTTAGCCCGGTGTTCCAGGTTCCCACCAGCTCCTTGGTCAACCTTTCTCAAGGCAGCCCTGGTTCTACAGAACAATGGCCAGTGCCTTGGCTGCCCTTAGTGCTCTCCTACCTTCGTCGCTGCACTGTGGCTTCCTGCCTCATCTATTCCTGACACAGTGATCACCCTTTTCAGTCTTTCAGTTTCCTACCAGAAGCCTTGCCGCTCAGGTCAGATTTCAGCCTTCTCATTTGTCCACCTGCTTTTCACTCCCGACCAGGAACTCCCCACAGAAGGATGTGCCCCTTCACTCTCCACTCGCTCACTCAGCTAGCATTTCCCTAGGCTCCCTGTACTATCAGTGTCAGGTCACAGAGCTGACCAGGACTTGGTGCTCACCCTTGTCCATGGGAGAAATGGACAAGTAAGGGGCTCCTGGAGTTGGTTGTGGCCAGTCCACCCTAAGGGCATCTGGAAGGCCTCCTGAAGGGGAGCTGGCTCTCAAGGGATAGACAGGAGTTCCTTGGTGGGGAAGGAAAGCAGAGCAAGCAGGAGGTGTGGTGGGGGTGCAGGTATGGGATGACAGATGAGCATAGAAGACTTCGAAGAGCAAAGAGCAGGTGCATCTGGACCACTAGGAGGACTTTGGAGGTAACATAAATTTCTTAGAAAAGAAAAGAAGCAGAGGCTGGAGAGCTGGGGGAAGTAAGGCCATTCAGAGCTGACACCTGAGTCTAAGGACTGTGACTTTGTCCTGGAAGGTCTGAGGAGTCAAAGAGGGCTGTGAGCAGGGTTAGCTCTGAGTGGGAAGACTCTTCTGGTGTAGGAGGCTGGGCAGCCATGGAAGAGACTGGGGTGAGGGTTCAAGGAGAGGATGGGTGTGGGCTTGGGCTTGGGCTTGGGCTGGACACAGAGGTGGAAACATGCAGTGTGGGTAGGAAAGAAGGGAGTGTGGATGATGATGACACCTGTGGGTCTGTCCCATGACTTGGGGCTGGTGGAATCATTGTAAGAAGGAACCTGGGAGTACGAATGGGTTTAGGGAAAGATACTAAGCTCAATACAGCTGAGGGGTGGCCAGGGGACATGGCACAGGTCTGGGTTGCAGGAAATAGATTTAGGAAACATCACCTGGGTGATCAGTTTTAGTCAAAGGTATAGAAAGGTGAGGTGGTCCAGTTCAGAGTGCAGTGGGAAGGGAAAGCTTGTGGCAGGGGAGCTAAAGGCAAGAGCCAGAGGCAGGAGATGATTAGGGACCACTGGGAAGGTGGGGCACAGAAGGTCAGAGTGGAGGAGGACATGGGGCCACCTACTTTGTGGAGAGCCATTTGGTAGATTTCTTCAGGTGAATGACCCTTCTCCTTGGGGCGCAGGTTGTAACCCAGCTTCTCGGGCATCTTCTCTACCACGTAGTTCCGCAGCTTCATGTCATTCACTTCTGTCCATGTGTTCTCATCATATTGGGTAAATTTTGTCAGATTGAGGCCCAGGCTTTTGCAAAGCTCCTGAAGGATCCTGAGGGTGTGGGAGAGGTTGGGTGAGGGCCAGAGTTGGCAGTCCTAGTGGGGTTTGGAGGAGGGAAGTGTGTATGGATGTGAGGCTGGGGTAGACTTGGGATCATCAGTGCTGGGGATGGGAATTAAATGTGGACAATGTTGAAGGCTGAGGGTGGAACGAGGATGAGGACTGGGTCAGGAGCAGGGATTGTTTTCACTGGGGATGAAGTTGGAGCTCAGATTTGATTTGAGAACAGGAACAGAGTTCAGGATGGATAGAGGTTAGGGATGGGGAAAGGGCCAGAGGCAGTGGCCACGCTTGTGCCTGGGGTCCTGAGGGTGTTGGGAGAGGGAGAACTGGGGAGGCTTGAAGGGGATGGGATGGTACTGGCTTGGGCTAGGGGCTCTGGCTGTATAAGATGACCTAAGTTCTGCAGCAGGTACCACAGCAGGACTGGTGCCAGGGAACCATGAAGTTAGGAGAAAGATCAAGTTGCAGATTAGATTTAGATCCAATTTGTGTGGGACATCTAGGTTTGAGGGTGAGACACTGGAGTGCTGTGCTCATTGCTAGAGCACTTGCCTAGCATGCATGAGGCTCTGGGTTCCATGAAAACAAATGAAGACACTGGAGCCTAGAACTGGGATAAAATTGGGGTTCTGGTTGTGTCTGGGTACAGAGGTGGGGCTGGGGGCAGCCAGATCAGGCCTCACCTGTGGGAGTTGGGCATGCGCATAGCTCCCAGCTCCCCAATCCAGCCTGTCTTCCGGTCCCGGAAGGTAAGGATACGGCCCCCAATTCTATTATCTGCCTCCAGGATGGTGACCTGAGAGATGAGGGGAAAGTGGGGACCTTCAGTTCCTTCTACTGAGCTTCCCACCTCTGCCAGACC